GAGGACTCAAAAGTGCTGCTGAGAAGAGGCCCTTGGCTGCTGCTGCTGCAGTGGGATTTGCTGGGCTGTCTGTACACTGGAAAGCGTGGCAGAGGGGGTGGCCGAGCGCGAGGGTTTAGGGTTTAGGATTTCCGAGGGTTTAGGGTTTGGGAGGCTGTAGGGTTTATTCAGGGCTGCGGTGTTTCTCTTTGCTGTTGCAGACCGGCAGAGGAGAGAGAGGAGGAGAAGGAGAAGAAATGGAGCCGCTTCGACAGAGAAGGTACCTAGGGTTTAGTGTTTAGGCTTTAGGCTTTAGGGTTTAGGGTTTGGGTGTTGGGCGTGAGCCGCTTTTGATTTATTTCCCGTTTTGCCAAGCCTCATGACTAGCTGCGTGTGGAGCTGTTCTCCAGTTTGTTTACAACTAATTGGGAGTTAAATAATGAAATATTTGCAAATTGTAATTGGCACTTTTGTGCGCCTTCTGCGGTGTACGTACACCTCAGGCGGCTCCGGGCGCTGGGCGGATAGAGAAGATGCAGACAGCGACGGCGACTGGCGGAGAGATGCGAGGCCTCCAAAGGTATTTTATGGAATTAACTTTATTTATTTTAATTTATTTAATTGTTTTTATTTAATTATGTTCTTATTTCGTTGTTTCGGCGGAGCTACACTGGCTAGCCAGCGCCCACTGCCGGGCTCCAGGTGTATGTACACCTGAAAGCGCCGCGCCTGCACGAACAGAAACCTCCAAATATAATTCACAAAAAAGATATTTTAAAATAAAAATAAGCGCATTTTCGAGATTGTCTTCGCCCTCTTGTTCCACGGGGTGTCTGTACACCTGGGGGGCTGGCCATTCCTTTTCTCTTCCTCTTTTTTCTTTTTTTCCAGAAAGAAGAAGTAGAAGTTGACTTCAGAGGGGCCCGAGGCGCCAAGTTCCAGGCGGGGCCCCCAGAAGAAGAGATCTCTTTCGCCAACATCCGCAGGGGGCCCCCCCAGGGGGCCCCCGGAGGGGCCCCCGGGGGGGCCCCCGGGGGCCCCCGGAGGGAAGAAGAGGAGGTTGACTTCTCCACAGTGAGGAGCCAGCCCCGCCGGGGGGCCCCCCAGGGGGGCCCCCAGGGGGGCCCCCTGGGGAGGGTACGGAGCCCGCAGGTTGAGGAGGATGTGGACTTCAGCCTGGCGCGCAGCGGGCCACGGGAGGGCCTGAGCAGCAGCAGCAGCAGCAGCAGCAGCAGCAGCTTCGCGCGCGACCGCAGCAAAAGAAACCCCAACGAACCAGTGGACTTCTCAGCAGCAAGAAATGGCCCTTTGAGGAGGCCCAAAGATTCCCCCGAGGTTTCCTTCAGCGGGCTCCGCAGCAGAGAAAAGCCAGGACCCAAGACGGAGCCAGGCAAGGGTTTAGGGTTTAGGGTTTAGGGTTTAGGGCGGGGCAAGCCAAGGGGCTGTTGGGTTTAGGGGATGAAGGAAGTGAAGTCACTGCTAGGGTTTAGCTAGGGTTTAGGGTTTGGGGTGTGGAGCAGGGGAAGGCGCTGTATCCTAGGATTTAGGGTTTAGGGTTTAGGGTTTGCGCGAATTTTTGCAGACAAGGAAAGGTCCCGAGGCTTCAAGGAGGTGTTTGCTGCTGTTGTTTCTGGGGAACTGCAGCCCCAGGCTCGCCGCGAGAGCCCGACAGCAGAGCCAGCAGCAGCAGCAGCAACAACAGCAGCAGCAGCAGCAGCTCCTCCCGCGCCAGCCCCAGCAGCAGAAGGAGCCCCGCGCCTTAGCAGCAGCAGCACCTCTGCGCCGCAGAGCCAGAACAGCACAGCAGCACCTGCTGCTGACGCGGCGCAGCAGCAGCAGCAAGAACAGCAGCAGCAGCAAGAGCAGCAGCAGCAAGAGCAGCAGCAGCAAGAGCAGCAGCAGCAAGAAGCCGCTAAGCCCGCAGCAGCAGACAAGCAGCAATCTGCTGCTTCAACGGCCTCTCCCAGCAGCGACGGCTCTTCAGTAGAAGGGCCTGTGGCTGCCCGGCAGCCAGCAGCAGCAGCAGCAACAGCAGCAGCAGCAGCAGAGCCTTCTGCTGAGAAGTTCGTGCCGCGGTGGAAGCGGCAAGCAGCAGCAGAAGCAACAGAAGCCCCGAAGCCAGCAGCAGCAAAGGAAGAGCCAGTTGTGCTGCAGCCAATTCGGCTTGCTTCCTTAAGAGGTGGGGGAGCAGCATCTGCTGCTGCTGCTACGGGCAGCAGCAGCAGCAGCAGCAGCAGCAGGTACGTCCCCCCCTGCCGCCGCGGAGATGGCGCGGGCGCCAAGGAGCAGCAGCAAGGCAGCAGCGGCACAGTGGTGAGCCGTTTGCTGAGCTCTGCTGCAGCTGCGCGGGAGGCGGAAGCAGCAGCAGCAGCAGCAGCAGCAGCACAGAAGAAGCAGGAGGATTTAGCAGCAGCAAGGAAGCAGCAGCTGGAGCTGAAACGGCAGCAGCAAGAAGCCGAACTGGCCAGAGTGCAGCAGGCCTTCCGCTGCAGCAGCCCCGAGGCTTTGCATGCGTTTGTGGCCAAGCTGCAGCAGCTGCTGCAGCAGCAGCTGCAGCCGGAAGAAGTGCTGTCAGTGTTGCCAGAAGCAGACAAGGGCTCGCTTGCTGCTGCTATTTGCTGCGTTGCTGCTGCTGCTAAGGCTGGGCTGGCAGCAGCAGACAGCAGCAGCAGCAGCTTCTGCTGCAGCGCGAAGCCTCTTGTCCCCGTGCTGCAGCAGCTGCTGCAGCAGGCAAGAGCAGCAATCCAGGGGACTCCGGGCCCCTCTGTGCTTCTGCTGCGGCAGCTAGCCAGACTCATCAACGGTGAGCAGCCCAAACCCTAAACCCTGAACCCTAAACCCTAGTGGCTCTTTGTTCTTAGCTGTTGGGGTCTACGTACAGCGCAAGTTCCCTTTGTGTGTCTTCAAATCAAATCTATTTTGTTGGATTTATTATCACTCTTATTTCTTTGCATTTATTTATTTTGTTTGTGAATATTTATTTTCTTTCATTTGTTCTTCAATACTATTTATATTTGCATTTTTATTTGCATTAATTTAACTAATGCAAATAAGATGAGGGAGTGTTAATTTCATTTATTTTAGTTCTTTAGCCGTCTCAAACCCTAAACCCTAAACCCTAAAAGGGTGCCTAGAAGCCGAAGAGAATTGCCCCGGGCTTTCTCTCCTGACGTCTAGCTTAGGGTTTAGGGTTTAGGGTTTAGGGTTTGCGCCACGTTTGACTCTTGCCTAATCAATTCAAAGAAGTCTTGTTTTGGTGGGATTTGATTACACGCTGCTTCTGCTGCTGCTGCTGCTGCTGCTGCAGCCATAGGCTGCCCCCGACTGGCAGAGGACTGCTCATTGGTAGAGGCGGTTTTCGACTGGCTGCTGCTGGAGAAGGTTGTTCCCCAGAGCGACTTCGTGGCGGTGAGCGAGGGTTTAGGGTTTAGGGTTTAGGGTTTAGGGGGTGGGTTGGGCGTGCAGCGAGCCGACAGCTAGCCGCCAGCGAGGGTTTAGGGTTTAGGGTTTAGGGTTTGGGCTTCGAGGTGTTTGGCCATGCAGCTGAGGAGTTTGGGTGACGAGAGGGTTAGGGTTTAGGGTTTAAGGTTTGGGGTTTGTGTCTACAGTGGCTGGAGGATGTGGAGGACGATACACCTGGCCGCACTGCGGTGATGTTCCAGGTACGGATTAGGGTTTAGGGTTTAGGGTTTAGGGTTTTGGGTTTTTGCGGGCTTTTTTGCACAAGGCCTGCTTGTGGCCGTGGTGTACGTACAGCTCGCAGAAAATAAGCCTCCAGCAGCAGCAGCAGCTGCTGCTGCTGCTGCTGCTGTCGCGATGTTTAGGGGCCCCCTTTGCTGCTAGAGGGGGCCTAAAGGCTCGCGAGACAAAGGGCTGTTTGCTGCAGCAGCTGGCCTGTTGCACTTTTATTTTTTTGTCATTTGTTTTTAATAATTTTAATTTATTTATATTCGTCTTATTTTGTTTTGTTTCTTAGTTGCATGCGCTTAAGGGTTTGTTTATTTGTTCCTGGGCTGTACGTACAGCTCGCCTCGTGGGGCCTCTGGGTGAGGGGAGAGTTGGGAGCCAAAGAGGAAAGCAGCGAGTCCGAGGTACGCTGCTGCTGCTGCTGCTGCTGTTGCTGTTGCTGCTGTTGTTGCTGCTGCTGCTGTTGACGCTGCTGTTAGTGCTGCCGCTGCTGTTAATGCTCATGCTGCTGCTGGTGTTAATATTGCTCTAAATGCTGCTTTGTTTGCTCTTAATGCTGCTGCTGTTGCTGATGGTGTTAGTGCTGCAGTTGCTGTTGCTGTTGGCGCCGCTGCTGCTGCGAGTGTTGCTGCTGTTGGCGGCGCAGCTGCTGCTTCTGCTGGTGCTGCTGCTGCAGTTGCACTGGGCTGCAACAACTGACGTTGCTTGCAACCTCGTGAATTATTTATTTTTAGCTTATATTTAATTATTAATTTATTTTAATTATTTAATTTACTTTTTATTTGTTTTGTTTTATTTCTTTGAACAGGAAGACAAAGATGACGAAGACATCGAAGCCCTCATTCCGAAAAGAGGAGTTGTGCGGATAAGTCGGCGGCTGCGATGAGCTGCTGGCCAAACAATGAAAGAAATAAGCAAATTTAAAAACAATTAATTAATTAATTCATTCATTCCAATTAATTAATGCAACAATTAATTAATTATTCCGCAAAACCCAACAGGAGCGGACAAGAGGGCGGCCACCTGCTGCAGCAGGGGCCCTGTAGTTCATTTATAGCCCAGCAGCTAGCTGGCTAGCTGGCTAGCTAGCTAGCTAGCCAGCTAGCTAGCTGCAGAGGTTTAGGATTTATGCCGTGGCAGGCGACCACCTGAAGATGCGCCGCCCGCAGCTCACCAGCCGCCCAGGAGCTGTGGCTAACTCGGGCCTGAGAAGAGCTAGCTAGCTAGCTAACTAGGTAGCTAGCTAGCTAGCTGGATAGCTTGCTTGTTTGCTAGCTGGCTGGCTGGCTGGCTAGCTAGCTAGCAAACTGTCTGGCTACGTGACTGGCTAGCTGGCTAGCGAAGTAGCTGGTTAACTAGCTGGCTAGGTAGCTAGCTAGCCAGTTGGCTAGCTAGCTGGTTAGCTATCCAGGCTTTGGAGGGCGGATTTGCCGAAACGAATTTATTTACTGGAGAAGAGAGTTGCAGAAGAAGTGGAAATAAAATAAATAGAAGTGCAAAAGAGATAAAATTGAAAATGCAAATAGGGGGAAAGAGAATTCAGTTTAAATCAGAAACCAATTTAAAAGAAAAGAAACAATTAAATGCAAAGGGGGCGAAAGGGCAAACAAATGTAGAGGTGGAGGGGCGCCTGCACTAACCCCAAACCCTAAACCCTAAACCCTAGCAAGTATAAAAATGATAGAAAGAGCAGATAATAGCAGACAGAGACAAACAAATGAAGAGATAAAAGGAAAAATTAAAAAAAGAGAATAAACCAAAAATAAGAAGACGAAAAGATAAAGGAGAATAGAAAGGGAATAAATAAAAAATGAAAAGATGAGAAGATAATGAGATTAGGGGACACAATTGGCCCCCAAAGAAGTAACGACTGAGCCAGAAGGCTCCTGTGGGACGTAACGCTAAACCCTAAACCCTAAACCCCATACCCTATAGCGACGCCTAGCAAAGGGCCTTCAGCCTGCGGTTCCAGTACCCAAAGGGGCCCCCACGGGGCCCCCAGGGGCCCCCACGGGGCCCCCAGGGGCCCCCAGAGGCCCCCAGAGGCCCCCATGGGGACCCCCACGGGGCCCCCGGGGGCCCCCAGGGGCCCCCATGGGGCCCCCCACAGGCCTCTATCCTGGGCCCCTAGGGGGCCCCACACCTGTGTAGGGTACAGACTAAGTGGGCTTTTCCCCTCATGGGCGTCTTAGCAGAATTTGGGGCCCACAGGGTCCCCCAAGGAGGGCCAAAGGGTGCACAAGGGGGCCCCCAGGGGGCCCCTGGGGCCCCTAAACCCCGTATTGTGGTCTAAATAAACAAAGGGTTTAGGGTTTGAGCTGATGAGTAAATGGAAAGGCAAATAAAAAGACAAAAAGTTAAGTTAAAAGGAGCGCTGAGGGCCCTTTGGAGGTTTGCAGGCGTCGCTGAGAAGCTCCAAACCCTAAACCCTAATTGGGGGCCCCCCGGAGCTAAGCTTGAGAAGTCTCAAACCCTAAACCCTAATTGGGGGCCCCCACGAGCCAGGGTTTGTGGGGTGGGAAGTTGGACTCTGTTTCATGCGCAGAGAGGAACTCTTCCTCAGCCTCCTCCTGCTGCTGCTTCTGCTGCTCCTGCTGCTGCTGCTGCTGCAGCTGCAGCAGCAAAGTTGGGGGCTCGTTCTCGATGTTTGCGAGGCTTTCGCTCAAGGTGGCAGGGGGTGGCAGGGCGCGCCTGCAGGCCCGCAGCAGGCAAACCCTAAACCCTAAACCCTAAACCCCAAACCCTAAACCCTAAACCCTCAGGCCTCAACCCAAACTTTTATGCAATACCTGCACTTCTCCATTTGAGAAAGATAAGAACAAAAAGAAGCTTCAATTTGCTGCTGCGCTTCTTCGACTGCCAGCAGCAGCGCAGCGTGGCGCTCGCGCTTCCGGTGTATGGACAGCTGCAGCTGCTGCTGCTGCTGCTGCAGCAGCCGAATGAACTCCTGAAAGCAAAAAACAGACAAAAATGGCAGCCAAACCAGCTGATAGAGCAGCAGCAGCAACAGCAGCAGCAGCAGCACCTGCAGGTGCAGCAGCAAAGGCGCCAGTAGCAACTGCAGTAGCAGGAGCAAACGCAACAGCAGCAACTAAGATAGCAGCAACTGAAGTAGTAGCAACAGCTGCAGAAACATGAGCACCAGCAGCAGCCACTGCAGAAACATCAACACGAATAGCAGCTGCAGCGGCAGCAGCAGCTTCAGCAGCAGCAGCAGCAGCGACTGCAGCAGCAGCAGCACCTGCTGCGCCGGCAGCGAGCTCCAGAATGATTCGGCCTCCTCTTTGGCTTGCTGCACCCTCTCCCTGAGTTCCCTTGATAAGATGCTGCACTGCTCCTCTTCCCGCAGCAGCAGCTGCTGCTGCTGCTGATACTCCTGCTGCAGCAGCTGCTGCTGCTGCTGCAGCTGCTGCCGCCGCTGCTGCAGCTCTTTCTGCGTCTTTTCGCAAGCGCGCAAATCTTGCCTTGCCGCCACACATGGCTGACAAACAACACACCAACAAGAAATTCTAAACCCTAAACCCTAAACCCCAAACCCTAGGGAATAAGCTTCCCCCCTGGGGCCCCATGGGGCCCCGTAGGGCCCACCCGGGGGTTACCAGGGGGTCCCCTGTAGGCCCATTACAGGGGCCCCCAGGGGGGCCCCTGTAGGTCTATTGAAGGGGCACCCAGGGGGGCCCCTGCAGGTTTATTACAGGGGCCCCCCTGGGGGCCCCCTTTAATAGACCTACAGGGGGCCTCTGTAGGTTTATTACGGGGGCCCCCAGGGGGGCCCCTGGAGTTCAATTACAGGGGCCCCCAGGGGGCCCCTGCAGGCTCATTGCAGGGGCCCCCGGGCGGGGCCCTGTAGGCTTATTGCAGGGGACCCCAGGGGGCCCCCTGTAGGCCTATTACAGGGGCCCCCATGGGGGCCCCTGTAGGTTTATTAGAGGGGCCCCCAAGGGGGCTCCTGTAGGCTTATGAGGATTACCTCTAAGTGATTGTGCTGGTGTTCTGTTAGTATTCTTTCAGCCTTGAGGGCCTTCTTTAGGGCTCGAGCAACTTGCTGCTGCAGCAGCTGCTGCTGCTGCT